ATCATGTCACATCCTTGTGTATGATCATCCAAAGTTTGCTCATTTTCTTAGGCTAACATCTAAACTCCCCATTAGGGTCTTCAAGGCCCAATGTGATCTGCCTCCCCACTCCCCCTCCTCATCTGTTTTGTGCTCTACCTAAAGTTATGATTTTCAAGCTTTTTTATCCCACAAAGCTCTTCCCACCTCTAGTCCTTAATGATCGTGCTCATAACCACTTTCCAAGCACATAATTTGATATGGCACCTCCTGACTCTCCCCCTTTCAAGACTTTGCTTTCAGAACTCACATACTTGAAAATCTGCCCAAAGAACATGTTTTCTTAAGTAGGTTCCTCTCATTGATATCAATATCTCCTGTTTTCCATCAAAGCAATGATCAAAATATATAAGGTTACTATTCATAGGTTTAATTATTTATATCCTATTTCCCTCAACCACACAGGAAGGTTCATACCCATGAGGGCAACAACTTGCTGGAAATGTAATCCCTGGGAATCTCTAGAAGAAAATCAGAACAATAAGGTAAGACACAGGTAAATCCAGGGTAGCAGCCACTTGTCTTAGTTATTGTTCTCCCAGTATCTAACCAAGGACTTAATCACCTAATGAAAGAATAGGTAAATGAGTTAAGGATGAATGAATAAATGAAAGTCTTAGTGGCCAATGGCATAAGGCGGAGACATATTAGATTCTTAGACACATGAAATCTAGGTTGAATCCAAACACCAGCAGGCATCTTTATACAGAAGGTGTAAAAGAAAACCTCCACACAGCATTAGAGCCCAGGGTTCTTTCCTTGAATTCTTTCTTGGTCAGTGGATATTTCCTTCCCCAGGACAAACACAGGCATAGTGTCTAACACCCTTTCTTTTGAGGGAAGACAAGGACCATAACAATTCCCCAGTTGCCAGGTATGGTGGCGCACCTCTGTAATCCCACTGGATTGGGAGGCTGAGGTAGGAGGACTGCAAGTTCAAGGCCAGGCTCAATAACTTAGTGAGGCTCTAAAGCAATTTAAGTGAGACCCTATCTCAAAATAAAAAATAAAAGGGGCTGTAGATGTCACTCAGTGGTTAAGCACCTTTGGGTTCAATCCCTAGTACCAAAATAATAATAATAACAATAATAATAATAATAATAATAATTATTATTATTAAACTAACTCCCCAGTTACAATGAAACATCCCTTCCCCATTCTTCCTGAGGGTAGACATGCCACAGAGTTCTACTGGCAATTCCAGAACTGCTCCTATGTGTGAAAAAGCTCTTCCTGTGTCTACATGTCTTGATGTTCTGGGATTTAGACTTGCACTCACCATAGCACTGTCCATGTGCTGCTGGCATCCAGCTATAATTCCTCATTCTGAACAGGATGCATCTACTAGCATCCTGGCTCCATGCCAAAACTTGTTAATGCCACATCTCTGTTTTTAAGAATCAGGTCCTAAAAATTTGCATATGTTTCATTAGAAAAAGATGTATATCTTGCTAGCAATTTAAGAAATAAAAATGCTCTTATGTTCTATGTCTGCTCAAATACAAGATTGCACAGTAGGAACGCAAACATTCCAAATGTCAGGGCAGATGTAGCACTAGGTCTCACACGATGCCTTGGTTTGGTTCCTTGCTGCCCCATCTCACTGAAGTTCAAGGACCAAAAGCACTGCTTGGGTAGTAGGGGGTCCAAGGAAAGCACCTTTGTTGGATGGAAATGAAGTTATTTATTGACACAAATGACTGCCACATCAAGTGGATTTTCCAGGAAGAAAGTTATGGAGAATTAAACAGCTGCTTTTCTTGTATATTTTCAAGTGAGAAAATACAGTTAGGGCTCCAGGAGCACATTTTCACAGTCAAAAGTTGTAGGTTGAGGGGCCATAGTGAGAGGGCAGTGATTGGATACACATTGCTAGGATTCTCATGAAGGCAACTACCTGATGGAAATGTGACTCCATGGAGTCTTCAGAAGAAAACTAGAGCAATGAGGAAGCCACATGTATATCATTGGCCTAGAAAACAGAGATGTGCATGAGCTGAGGGGGAGGGCAGTAGAAAGCAATAAAAAGCAAAATCTAGGAATATGTGCTGGGTTTAAGTAACACACACTACATAATTTGTGGGGCTCAGAGCACAATGAAAATGGGGGGCCTCTTATCTGAAAAGTATTGAGAATTTCAAGATGGTGGCCAGAGACTTAGAACTAAGAGCAGAGCCCTTCAAACCATAGTGCCCTATGAACTACAGAGGCCACATAATGGGATAAGAGTCACAGTAGGGAAAAGCTAGTTCTAAATTCTGTACAAAAGCAAAATTCTGTTAAAAAAAAAAAAGCAAACTCCCCCCAGTTCACTTTGCTCTCAGAAAATAACATCCTTGAATGATCATAGTGAGACAGATAAATCATGCCGGCTTGGCATCCAGAAGTGGCAAAAAAGGGAGGAGTCGTCAGGGTTGTTATGCTAATTCCAAATTGTTGTAAATTTTAGAGGGACTTTTTCTAAATTATGATTCATTTCAGCACCAAAATTCCAGATTCAAGTCAAGCCTTCTGATGCTATTATGAGCACATTACTAATGCCTAGTAAAATAACATCTTGTAATGTTTCCTTTATAAGGGCCATAAATCAAAACATTCAAAACAGTTAATTTTTAATGTACCACTATTATCCATCTTTAGTTATAAATTTAATGTCTCCTTAGGCCTCACAGATTGTAACACAACTTAAAACATGCAGTGGCTATTTAAAAATAGAAGGTTTCGCCAGTTATCTCGTTATTCAAATCCTTAAAGATACAGTTTTAAAAGCCTGAGGATATCTGAGCAAACTTGTTTAAAGGAGTCATAAAGAAAGATAAGTAGTTTTCCTCAGAAGCCAATAAAATTTATTACAACATATTAAAGTAGGATTATCTATTGACTAATTTTCTGTAGACACTTGTTTTCTGGGGTGCACAGTGTCTGGGGAAGTTCATGTAGAAATAAAGAGGATAGGGATCAACGCCATCATCTACCTTTGCCTTGAGCTAGGCAAGATTTTCTATGTCTCTTAGAGCCAATTCCTTCCTAAGGATGATGACAACAATGGGGATCATGTCTCAGGGAATGGCACAGTGAATGTCATGAATCTTGAGAAAGAGCAATAAAAATCTTTATTTTTCAGCAGGAGACACAAATGCAGCTTTGCACCCTGATGCTTGCTTACAGCAAAGAAGTGACTTCCTAGAAGGGCTCTACTTCTTAAGGCAATTCTCAAACTTAGAACCTTTCTTTGTCTACCTAGTCCCTACATATTAGGGGCAGGTTTTATATGTTTGCTTTTTAATGTTATAAAATTTTCTCATTTAACATTAATTGTCTTAGGTCAATTTACACTTTCATTAGCAATGCAATGCTTCTCTGAAAGTTGTCCCTAGACAGTGAGAACCTCAAGGATTTCTCTGGTTTCCCCACTTCCACACATTGACAAGCTTCCCTTTGGAACCACTCTGTATCTGAAATTGTTGATTCCTGTGCTATTCCCCCTTTATCAAGAAAGGGAAAAGAGGTGAGTACCCAAAGGGAACACGAAGCAGCAAACGGATCCAAGAGGCATTACATCTTTGCTATGCTCTATCCAAAAACCAACCCTTGAGTGTTCCCTGTGGTCCCAAACACAGCAATCTGACACACTCAGGGGACCTACAGCATGTTCAACACAATAATGGTGCTGTCACCCATGGGCCAAACATTAGTTCTTGGTGAAAATTTTCCTGATCTCTCTAGCAGGTTTGAGAAAAGCAAGACTTGGGGAAGGGCATGCATTTTTCAGTTATCCCAAAGAATAGTCCCAAACCTGTTGATTCTCCAGCAATGTGACATTTTATGTTTGTCTCAGAAAAAAAAAAAGAGAGAGAGAGAGAGAGAGAGAGAAGAAGAAGAAGAAGAACTGCATGTGGAATACTTTCTGAACAACAACAAAAAAGATCCTCATACACAATCTCCACAATTCCTTGTTCTGAACCAAATGTCATGTGCAATGTCAAGTTTAAAAGTATTTTGTGTAACTATATGAACATTGAACTCCAGGGAATTTGTAACTTTGAGTTAAACATGCAGCAATATATACAGGACAGGAACAATTCCCAGCAGCAAAAGCTGCTGGAGCCCAATGTCCCATTTATGACCATGTGGTAATTTAGACGTGTCACTATTCAACTACGCAGAAAGGATGGGAATAAAGGGTGGCTTCTTACTAGCTCAAAATCAGCTTTTAAAAGAGTGCAACTCTGTTCAAAATGCAACATGTGTAATTTAAAATGCAAAGTTCCATAGAATTGTGAATTTTAAAGAAAGTAATAGATAAAATGTCAACAACAAGGCCTGCTAAAGTTAACATATCTGATCTAATCCATTTAAGAGTTAGTTACCCATTCACCATTACTATGCCTTGATCCTTGTGTTTTCTTCAGCACTGCATAGAAGAGATAGCATAATCCATTAAATGGGCTTCTTAGAGGTGACAGTTTCAGCTCCATGAAGAGATAAAGTTTTATTTTCCTTATTCCTTGCCAAACATTTGACACAACCAGAAGGACGTGAGAGTCACACCACACTGGCATATCTGGTAAAAGCAAGCAGTTGGCTGAAAACCACAACTGGAGAATTGCGACAATTTCTGAGTCCACAATCATGCCTTAAAAAGTGGTATGCATCCTACTAAGGGCATAGTTTGCATCTCAAATAACACAGAAACACTGGAATCGTGCTAAACCCAGCCCAAACAAGGCAGAGCAATAATGTGGTTGGGGAGGTGGGGAGGTGAGGAAGGATGGATGGGGCTCTTGGGAATGGTGAGGGTGCGCGGACATTCTGCGCTCACAGAACACAGTAGCAAACACAGGGCACAATCACAAACATCAGCAAGCACAACTGAGCACGCGCACAACACAACACTAGAATGCAATTTTTCTTTTGCTTTTTTTTTTCTTAGAAAAATGATATAAAAGATGGTTTCTCACCCCTCAAAACAAAACTGGAACTTTGGTTTACAGGCCCGGCTATGCCCATATGCCCTCCTCGTCATCCTGCCGCCGGCCCGAGGTAGGGAGGTGCACAGAGAGGAGGGGAGCACCAGAATGAAAGAAGAGAAGGTTAGTTACACAGAGATGCACTGGAAAGGCACATGAATCTTCACTTTTTTTTTTTTTTAAATCTTAAAGAGCGAGGACCAAAATAAATAAATAAATAAATAAATAAATAAATAAATAAATAAATAATTAAATAAATAAATAAATAAATAAATAAATAAAATCTGTAGTAACTTAAGTTCCACGTGACTGACTTGTCAAATGCATAAGCAAAGTTTTGTATCTATGGCAACCCCCACACAAAAACATTTCACCCACCCAGTTCTGACTCTGTGTCAAGATTGGATTAGAAGATTAAAATTAGTCTACATTAGCAGATGATTATTTTTTGGAAAGCATACAATCTGAATTGCATATGCCTAAGGAGTAGATTAAACCTTTAAAGTAAGCAGAGAAGTAATTATAGTAATCAAATACCCTTAATTTCTCTTAAGCTTAAAGTATCAATAAAGACTGAATATGAACTTAAAAATAAAGAAAGAAAGAAAGAAAGAAAATCTCCATCTACCCGGGTGGAACAAGCTTTTTTTGCATGCAATAATTCATATTGGTTATTTCACAAAGACTAAAGAATACTTCAATCTTATTTTTCAAGTTCTATTTTGCTGTCAGCATTAAGGAGGATGTGCATGCCATAGAATGATTATACATTTGCATGAAATGATTATACATTTGCAATCAAATAAGTTTAAAAGAGAGTAAACGTTCAATTCAGTAGAATGCTTATAGAAAGGAAGTTTTGTTTAACTTAACATTTTGTTCAACTGTGGATAAACTGAAACTAATTTGGTCTGAATCCTTGCTTAAAATGTTTCCAAAATGGCCTGGCCACTTTCTTCTCTTAGTCCAGAGACCAATATGCAGGAAAATGGAATCTTTGAAGACAGAAGCATATTCGCCATCATAACATCCCCATTTTGAACAATTTTTCCTGTTTACCGGGAGAACTGACACAAAGTATATAAGACTGTGTGGTCCATATCCCAGTCTCACACACACAGTTTGGAAGCAGTGTTTGTTATTTAATAAATCCCAATGAAACCAGAATTTACTATGATTTTCTTCTTTGTTTTGAAAACCAGGGACAGGAAAAAAAAGATTTTTTTTCACATAAATCCTTATTACTCAAGCTGTTATAATATTAGGTTGAATCATATGAAAATGCCAATATTTAACCATTTTTGACCTGGAAAAACAGTAATTTCATATAGTTCAACCCTATCTTGCTAGTAAGCCAAGGTAATTTTTATCTACCTAAGGATTTAGATGTGTGGTATTTGAACTGACTCAACATAATTTCTTTCCTTTGTCACTCTATGTATTTTACTTTATGCTTTTAAAAATGTTATTCTAAGAAGAGATTCAGAAAGTTCACCAGACTGCCAAAGGGCTCAATGGCCCACAAAGGAACTTGAGTTAATCAAAGAATTTATACAGAATCTGAATTGGGCAATTTGGGATGATTTTTCTCTTAAGAGTTTGGATAGGGATATTCTGGGGGGCAAAAAAAAGACACATTCATGATTTTGGCTAGGTCATCTTACATAAAAATTACTGTTTGTTTATTACTTGTCTAGTAATTGCTCCTAGAAATAAACTTTCCTTCTCCTACATGACTTGAGAAAAATGTAATTTTACATGCATTGAACTTCCTCCCTATTTCTGGAGAAAAGCAAAGTTGATGTTCTTTTTGTGGTCATAAAGAAGGAAAGCATAGGACTGGGGATGTGGCTCAAGTGGTAACGCGCTCACCTGGCATGCGCGAGGCGCTGGGTTTGATCCTCAGCACCACATAAAAATAAAATAAAGATGTTGAGTCCACCGAAAACTAAAAAATAAATATTAAAAAAATCTCTCTCTCTCTCTCTCTCTCTCTCTCTCTCTCTCTCTCTCAAATAAATAAATAAATAAATAAATAAATAAAAAAGAAGGAAAGCATACATAGCATGAGACCCAAGAGAATCCACAAGTGGGTTTCAGGGGGTCTAGAAACCCCCTGAAATTCAATGTAGAAAGCTATTAAGTGTGCATGTAAAGATACTTCTCTGATTAAAGGCCTGAGCTTTCATCAAAAGGTTCTTGACCCCCAAAGGGCTGCTGTAGGAAAACTCCACGCACAGAAAGATGCTATGATTTGCCAAAATCACAAAACAGGAGGCTTTCTCTAAAATGCAGCCTACGGCCCCTGCTGGCCCCGTCCTAAATGGCTGTAAAACAACTTTCCTTTCAGATCTGTTTATTTCATTGTGTATTTATAACTCAATAGCATATATACATGCAGTTTCTTCCAAATTCACTCATATAGGTTTTTAATTGAATAATAAAAAAATAGGAAAAAGAAAAGCTACTGCCACCAAAATCTACTGCTACTTTCTTAACAGTGAAATGTAGTCTAATGCAAGTCACTTTTAGCAAATTAAATATATTAAAAAGTGGTAATTAATTATGATTGAATCAGACAGGAGTTGTAGCTTGAAAATATACACTGCCAATATCACTACTGTTCCTAGTCCAACATAGGAATAAAAAGGAGCTCCCACATGTCGAGGGTTATTAAAAACCAGATGTTGAGATCGACATCTTGTACGCTGGTGAATAAAGTAAAGAAATATGACAGTCCAACATAAACTGTGCTAACATTTAACATGGCAGAAATGTGGGTGAATTCCTTTTGTGAACTCAGAATATTATGCATTTTTAAAAGTTTTTCATTTTTAAAGTTGAAAGAGTTCTTTAAAGAACTAGAAAGGGAAGTAGAGATCATTTCTGATCTCTCTAGTCTTCAAAGTGTAAACATGAATTGACCCTCATCACCAAGTGATTTGGGTCAGAGTGAGTGTCCATTTGGGGAATAAAAACCAAAAGTGCAGGAGTTGATCAGAGAGGCAGCTCCATGTCGTCCAAACATTTGCAGCTGTCTCACTGCCCTGCTGCCTGCCTCTCTGTGTGCAAATATTAATTTCTTCAGCAACCTTACCACACAGAAATGTAAATCTGGGAACCCCAAAATAAGAAACAGATAAGTATCACTTGCTCTCTCACTATATGCCAAGTTATTTAGAAATACTTGGATTTTTAAAAGGCATCTATCAAACATGGGAGAGTCTGTTTCCTTTCCTTGTTTTTCTGTTTCCAAATCGACTCTGTAGCAGTTCTTCTGGATGCTGCCTAGTGCTTGATCCCTTGTGTGTCCTTTGAGAGTCACTGCTCTGCCAGAAGTTGCCAAAATATGTGGATGGGAAGAAAGGCTCTGGACCAACAGTCATTTGTATGCTTTTGTCCAAAGCATCTGAGGCTGAAAACATCCAAGGTGGACTAAAGCCCAGAGCACAGCGTCCACAAAACAGCCAGATTAAAGAGGAAGGCAGGCTTCACCATCAAGTAACCTCAGGATGTATCGATAGCTCAAGGGATGATGGGATGGACAAGAGGCTGCATGGAAAGCCCAGATGCTGGGCTCTAATGAGATCCTCTAAACACCAAGATAAAACAAAACTCCTCACTGATCAACTGCTCTCAGTGGTTGTGTTGATGACAAGACTGAAAAGCAAAGAAACTGAGTCATTGCTAAAGAGAGTCTTGCTGTTGTGGACGGCATTTATTAGCCCCAGCAAGAAAGTTCTGAGCAGGAACTCTATATTAGGACATTATAAACAGTATAAACTGATATACACCTTTCATTGATCTGTATTTTGATATATTAGATACAGCCAGCAGGCAGACCCAAGTCCATCATTGGATTTGCTTTTCAAAACACCTGCATTTCCCTTTGAGTTAATAGCCTGACTTTTTCCTTGACATAGGAGGGCCATATGTCCAATGAGAAACTTAGAGTCACACCTCTCCTAGGTAGAAAGGAGGGTAGAATCAGGGAAGCGTCATTTTCAAATAGCCCACTGCCTTTGTGGCAACTCAGTGGCTCTCTCTGCCAGGAGGTTCAATCTGACTTCCTTGCAGGACAATTAGGAAAATCATAACTAGGTCTGAGTGGACCGAATCCAGAGCAACTCTCAGTTCTTGTGGCTTCTCTGAAATTTCAAGCTCTGAAAAGCCTTCCTCTGCAAATCACAAAGCAGGACCACAGAATGATATTCATGATGTGCCCTGAGGCTGGATTTAAGCAAAGCAGATCCTCTTGACATTTCTAACTATAGGCTTGGCCAGCACAGAGAATGGACAGATATGTGTGAAGGAAAATGACAGGCTTAGGTGTGAGCCTGGAAAAGAAAGGCAGTGACCTCATCAGGACACTATATTTTCTTCCAAGTTCAAGTCCATACTTTCCCTCTAGAGATTATTTATTGGTGTTTTCCATCTCTCCTACCCCCTGCATAGCTTAGCCCATGGATAAATGTTTCTGTTCAGGTGATGGGTCAGGTATTACCTGACTTATATTTGCTATATCCTGCAGGACCCAAAAAATAGGAAAGTCCTATCCAGGTTCAGATACCTGCTCATTGATCTTTTTAAATACCCAGGCCAGAAAGAGCTAACTTGTATTAGTGCCTCCTCTCAGTTAGAGAGAGTTCTGGCAGCTGTACCTGTTTCTTCACAAGTCTCACCTTGGCCCAGAGACACAGGTGAGGGTTCTTGTGCAGCTGTGGGAAGAAAGGTTCAGGGACAGACACCTGGCCAGGAGCTGTGGAGTGAGGGTCAGATTCCAACCTAATGGCAAAAGTACACACACCCTTTTGACTCTGCCATATGAGCTGCAAAGTCACAGAAAAAAAGAGCTCTGTTTGCCCCCAAATGGTGTTTGTTGGTCTGCTGAGCTCAGCTCTGAAGGACTCTGAACTGTGAACTGCCCTTTTTTCAGATCTCTTTTGAACCTTGTTGGAGGGAGACACTACAACTTCAGCTGGGTCCCTCTGTGCTTTCTTGAAAGAAAGGGGGTCCTCATGTGCTACTGCAAGGGTACATGTATGGATTATCAGTGG